CAGGGGGGTTTTTTTAAGCTTTGTGGTGGCATGGAATACCCGGTCGCCCAACCCCCCCCTCACCTGACATGCCTGACGCGGTCGAAGGGGTGGTGGTGGCAGTTGTGGCTGCCGCCGCCGCCGAGGCCGGAATGTCTTCATCCACCTGTATGATTTCCACAGTCCTGGCGGCCCCCACAGTACTCCTCTGCTGGTGACGCTTGCGAAGTTTGTAAAAGACTATCAACATGGCTGCTGCCAGGAGGGTCACGGCCACAAAACATCCAATGATGATCTTGGTGGTCTTCATCACCTCATCCAGGCTGGTCTGCATCTTGTCGTTGCTGTCCAAGGTGGCGTCCTGCCTGGGCATCTTGGTGGTCTGGATGAGCACGGTGGTGGTGGTGGTGTAGGCCGGCTGGTAGCCCGTGGACGTGGTCGGCACCGGCTTCGTAAACTTGGGGAAGATGTTTTCAGGCGACGTCTCTGTGGTCTCCACAGTGACCGTGGTGAAGAAGCTATAGTTGGAAGTGTTGAGTTCAGCCGTGCTCACGTTGAGGTAGGCCGAGGCGTTGGAGTTCCCTGCCACGTTGGTGACCATGCACGTGTATATCCCCGTGTCCGTGAGGAAAACCTGTGAAAAGTTCAGGGTGCCGTCATTAAGAACGGAGATTCGAGGGTGATTGGAGGCGTGGCTCAGCACCGTCCCGTTGGGCAGCAGCCACCGCACGGAGGACATGGTGGGGGTTCGGCACTTGAGCTCGGCCACCCTCCCTTCGGAGATGTTGAGGTCCCGAGGGGCGTCCATGATGAAGGGGGCCGAGCACCGGAAGGCTGTTTGGTCCACCTCCACCAGGAACTTGCCCCGCATGTGCGCGGGGGCATGGCAGCGCCCACAGCAAGAGGAGTTGGTGGGGATGTACTCCCGCAGCCACCAAGACAGCCACAGGATGTCGCAGTCGCAGTTCCAGGGGTTGTGGTGCAAGTGCAGCTCCACCAGGTACCTCAGGGGCGCAAAAAGGTCGTGGGGCAGAGAAGTGAGGTTGTTGTGAGCCAGGTTGAGCTCCACCAGCGCCGTCAGGTCATCAAAGGCGTTCCGCTCAATCAGGCTGATCTGGGCGCTCATAATCCACAGCTTCTTGAGCGACTTCAGTCCGTGGAAGGCGCCCGGCTTCATGGCTGGGAAGTTGTTGCCGGACATCTCCAGCTCCTCCAGCCCCACCAGAGGGGAGAGGTTGGGCATCTCTCGGATGCCACACATGCCGAGGTTCAGGTACTTCAGGTTGTACAGCCCCTCGAAGGCCCCCTCGGAGATGTACTTGAGCTTCTTGAGCTCGCCCAGGTCCAGGCGCATGAGGGAGGGGACCCGGTTGAAGGCGTAGGAGGAGATGCTCTCGATGGGGTTGTTGCGCAGCCAGAGCTCCCGCAGCTTGGACAGGTACTCGAAGGCCCCACTGGGCACCACCGTCAGCCAGTTGTCGAAGAGCTCCAGCGTGTTGAGGCTGGCCAGCCCGTTGAAGGCCCCCACCTCGATCTGCCGGATGGCGTTGCGCCCCAGCTGGAGCACCTCCAGGTGGTGCAGGTGGCGGAAGGTGTCCGCCTGGATCACCTTGATGCTGTTCTCCATCAGGTTCAGGTGGCGGGTGCTGGAGGGGATGCCCGGTGGCACCTCGGCCAGCCCCCGGCGGGTGCAGACGACTTTGCTGAGCTGGTTACTGCAGGAGCAGACGGA